AGAAAATTCTAATTTGTGCTTCGCATCCATAAAATAATCAATTTTTAGACTTCTGTGTTCACAAATCAGTCAGTGAATCATACCTTAACCAGTCACATGCACAAACCACGGCCCATCGTCATTTATTGGACTAATGATGGATGAATGGAAAAACAGCCCAACCCTAGTGTGGGCTACCGGAGCTGCAATACTTACTCTGAACTGTGTGGCGCTAAAGAGTCGAATGTTTTACACACTGGGACTTTAAGCCCTAAACCACAGCGACATGCTGAGGAAACAGCAGTCATACGTGCTGTCAGCGCCGCTGCCGTCGTGTCTGCAGCATGCTGTCTCCCCAACTGTGATTGGGCAAATGATGATGCGTGACTGACGCTACAACAAAGGTAGGTTGTGAACAAGATGAAAACCTCTCCTGTCTCTGACTGATTCTCGTAGTGACTGAAACCCGACAGAAGACCAAATAGTTCCCACAGCTTAATCTCACCGCTCCACATGGGGACGGGTCAAATGCAGGACGTAACTTCACCAGTGTGTGACGATGACTTTGGGACTTTAACTCCCCTCAGAAAAAAAATTCTTTGGATCAAAACGAGTCACATGACCACTATACTTGGCTTCAAAAATCATTCATTGGAGAGATCTATTCACTCTAAAACTTCAAGGTTCTACAACAGTCTGTGAACGAGTGAATGACTGTGATGTAAAACGCTTTGGGGGGTTTTAGAACCCCAGTAGTGCTAAACATATACAGATCATTATTTTAAAGATTGAACCTCATTCTCATAATTTCTGTAATGTCCCACCATATACTGATAATATATTCATTCATTCATTCATTCATTCATCCACCAGTACCTGTGTCCATGCTGTCCAGGTCCAGGTGGTGAAGAACACACGATGAATCAGTCCCAGCTGATGGATGATCCTGAAGTGGTAGCAGGTTTTCTTTAGCCGTGTTTAGCTAACAGCTGCAATAGAAACAAAGCAGGAGAGCTGATTAAGATGCTGCTTCAGAACAACGCAGGAGATTAAAGATCCAACGCTTTGGTTCTGGCCAAAGGAACAGCAGCAGATCCAGAGGGCAGGAAGTCTAGAGAAAAACTTTTCTCACCCACAACCTGATTCTGGAGCTCCGATTGTCACCAAGACCGCAGAATATCTTCTCTGGTTCTGGAAAGAACTCCACCAAGTTGTTGAGGAGGAGAAGAAAGTTTCCACAGCCTGGTGAGAAGATTTCTGCAGCAGCAGCAGTTAGTCGCTTTAGCTGATCAACTCTCCCAGAGACTGAAGTGAAGACATTTTTACTGCAGAGCCTCAAATATTCTCCTCACACACCAGAACAACAACAAGCTAGCTCTGCTAGCAGCTTCCGGTTTCTGCTCTTCTGGTGGTCGGTGACCAGCGTAAAGGTGCACTACCGCCACCTGCTGGAGCAGAATAAAACACACCTGTGTGTTCAGAATGGGACTAATAAAACACATAACGTGATATATTCCTCAAACAAATACTAAGACAAGTTAGTTTTACACCTGTTGTAATAATTTTTGTATTTACTTTATTTTAAATTTAATCTTGTTGGTTTTTATCTCATCTGTTTTTCTTTGATGTAAAGCTGATTATGTGTCTGTTGCTGCTGCCTCTTGGCCAGATTGTTGTTGTAAATGAGAATGAGTTCTCCATCTGGTTAAATATATTTCCAACACACACACACACACACACACACACACACACACACACATACACACACACACACACACACACACACACACACACACACACACACACACACACATGTAAATATATATAGTTATGTTTTCATGGTGGGCTGGTTTGATTAATATGTGTGATAGGCTGGGTGATCAACTGGTTGAGACACCAACCAGTCCTGCTACATGTACATACAAACAGTCCAAAGAACTGGGTGTGAGTGTAGCCTCTTTATGCCCCCCCCCCCCCCCCAACATGATGTTTACGGGCTTTAAAAACTCTGGACATCTCCTGTGATTTAGATTCATCATATATGTCCCCCAGTTTCAGCTGAGTGTCTCATGTAGTAATAAAACATGATCTAGGTCTAGAAGCAGACTCTTGTTCATCATTGAGTGTTTATTTTTTTGGACCCCCCCCCCCCCATTTGTTTCCTCCTTTCTCTTTTACCTTTGTGTCTGGTCAGAATTACAAAGCATTCAGAAAACAATAACAATAAAGTTTTAAGTATCAGGTGTGACATTAAAGCAGAAGCTTTGATGTAAATCTGTCAGGCTTGTCACCAACATTCAGACATTAATTCTGTTTGCTTCACAGCCAGACAGGACACGGGGAAAAAAAGTAAAACATGATTGTGAATGCTCTCTCAAGTCAAGTCAAGTTTATTATATAGCCCATTTCACACCCTAAACAGTAGCCCAATGTGCTTCACGTAGTTAAAACAATCACAAGTGAAATGAAAAAGTTAAAATGTCACATCATGTTGTGTAAAATAAAATCAAAGAATATTGACACAGAACATTAGCTTAACAAGCAGGTGAAGACTTACAGATACAAGTCGAACAGTAGCATGGATAGACAGCAGTGTGATGGTTGAGCAGCAGCAATCCAAATGAGAGGCAGCAGTATGTACAGTAAGGGATAGTAACATGTATGTGACTTCAGGCACATCCCTGAATACACCTTTTTCCCTCGAGGCTTGATCGCAGCACATCCTAGTGGCCAGTGGTGACCTCTGCAGTTATGGCCTCTAAAATCGTAGAGAACACGACCAGTAATCTGCACATGGCTTTTTACCGACCTGCAATGAAGTGTTAGTTGAATTGGCACTTGCTAATTTTTAGGTTGCAGTGAGCGTTATTGTTAGCCACCAAGGCCAGTTAGCTTGCGCCCGGTGAAGAGAGTCGCTCGTGTCCATCAGTCCCCGCAGATGACCCTGGATCAGAAAGGCGTTCCGCGTATTCGTCGTCTTTTTTAGGATCAGTGAAGACAAGATCCCACTGCCCCTTCAGGGACTCCAGTAATTCTGATATTTTGTCTCCTTGATCTACCTTTCAAGTCCTCATACTTGTCAGTTATCTATATGAGTTGTCAGTTTACAACTGTGTAATGTAAAGTGCATTATTAAAAACTATTATTATTATTATTATTATTATTGTTATTATTATTATTACCTGAAGGTGGCACTGGCCACCTCTCCAGAAAGAATGGCCCCCCCTTACACACACACACACACACACACACACACACACACACACACACACACACACACACACACACACACACACACACACACACACACACACACACCTAATTGAGACAATGAAACATCTGTATCATATAAACAATCAAAACACAAAATATAACATATATAAACAATAAAATATCAAATGTAAGATGACATTTTCTACGTGAAACTCAAAAGTTTGATTGTAAGTGAATGCATCACAGCACTACAAGAAGTTGTCTCCATCCCTGTTGGCCCAGTGATGAGTCAGGTGACAGTAGCCCTGTTTCCATTACCAGAACTTTAGGCCAGTTCCTGTCGTGTCACATCAGCAGGTGAGTGGCTGAGCCAGGTGGAGGTGCAGCCATGTAGTGCAGACAACGTCTCCCTGCAGCTCCACAGCAATCGAAATCAGTGTGGAGCAGAATTTTAACCTGAAGATGGAGACAAAATTACAGTTTGGGGCTGAAATATTATAAGCAAATTGTACTAAACTGCCAAAACAATTATTCCACGTGTTAGCACACAGACCCCCCAAAGTAGCTGCTGGCTCCTGATCCGCTAGCCTTTTGGGAATACTGCTCTGCATTCTGGGACATTTTTGACTGAGAGAAGGCAACAAAACACCTCCCGTGTATCTTTGGTCGGTTAGGAAAACAGCAGACAAATGGAGGACAGACGCCATCACAGCGCATGAACATTGGAACACACCTTGGCGGTTCCTGATGATGCATCTCCTAGGCAACCGGGGCAGAATCAAGGCATCAAGGCGAGGTTCCTTGACCCTTAGAACTACCCTGAGGGTTTCTTCTGTCTAGAATTTCTGTTCTTTTGGAGTGGCATGGTAGGGGCACAAATGTGAACAAGGACGGCACATGTAAACAATCCATACCCTTGAAAAAATATCTATTATTGTTTTTAGCAAACTTACAAAGCGTTAATCATAATCTAACGAGCTACTAGAAACTAAAATAAAGTCAAAGCACAATACCAATGGTGCACCTTTGTTAATATTTATTGATGACATTTTTCCAGTTTTATTATATTCAATTTCAACTTATTTATTTATAAAGCACCTTCTACCACCTTAGTGGAGGCCCAAGGTGCTGAACAGGACAAAAAACCAGAGTATAAAAACAACCTATTGAATAAAAATCAGTAAAAAGAAATATAGAACATTTAAAAACAATTAAAAACTGTGCGATACAAATGATAAAAAATCTAAAAGCCAGTGTCAACGTTGTTCTTCAAACTCTTCCCATCAAGACCCAGTGTGTGGGAACGTGTCAACAGACCGGCTTCTTTTGATGTTTGTTTTCAGTTTGATTGAAGTTGTAATAATGTTTAGGAAGGACTTAACACACAGATCTTGATTTTGTTCTGTGTGTGCACGAAGCAGTACAAGTGATAATGCAACTGGAATTCATAATTGGATCCTTCTCAGCAGCAGCACTGCAGGTGCTCTCCATGTCCAAAATGTGCCTAAGCCAGGTCCTTAGTCAACGTAAAGTTGCGAACATTTTTCCGCTACGTTTTCTTTTATACATCCCAAAGTTTGCACGGAAAGTTATTTATGCAGTTCTCTGACCCCATTTTGTGTGTAAGCAAGCTTGATAAATGATGCCCCAGGTCAGGAAGCAGCAAGGTGTTTGTTTGCTTCGTCCAGCAGAGGGCAGGCCTGCTGAAGAGGCTGGAGGTGAAGCAGTGTCTAATCAGCTCACATAAATAAAAAGGCAAAAACAAAACCGCCATCGGAATATATAAGACAAGACACTTTAATTTTGCGTGTAAGAGGGTTTTCGCCCAGGGCACCAAATGGGCTAGGACCGCCCCTGCGTCTGGGGAAGTTATCACAATCTACAGTATGTGTGTTTTATTAGTCCCATTCTGAACACACAGGCGTGTTTAATTCTGCTCCAGCAGGTGGCGCAAGCGCACCTTTACGCTGGTCACCGACCACCAGAAGAAGCAGAAACCGGAAGCTGCTAGCAGAGCTAGCTTGTTGTTCTGGTGTGTGAGGAGAAAATTTGAGGCTCTGCAGTAAAAATGTCTTCACTTCAGTCTCTGGGAGAGTTGATCAGCTAAAGCAACTAACTGCTGCTGCTGCAGAAATCTTCTCACCAGGCTGTGGAAACTTTCTTCTCCTCCTCAACAACTTGGTGGAGTTCTTTCCAGAACCAGAGAAGATATTCTGCGGTCTTCGTGACAATCGGAGCTCCAGAATCAGGTTGTGGGTGAGAAAAGCTTTTCTCTAGACTTCCTGCCCTCTGGATCTGCTGCTGTTCCTTTGTCCTCTCTGAGAAACGCGCTCGTTTTGCTGCTTTCATCAGATTGAAGAGGTTCCCTCTATCAGACTCGCTCATCTGAGTTGGTCATGATGCAGGATCGCTGCTCGCTCTCTGGTCCATCCTGCTCACACTCTCCGACGGAAAAGCCCCGAATCTGAATGTGACTCTGGAGGAAAAAGCGGTTAGCTCTACTCCGTGAACTCTGGTGAGCAAAGGTCCTCTTTTCCAGACTGGATCTGTCCTCAGCTGATCAGAACCAAAGCGTTGGATCTCTAAAGGTGCAGTATGAGATAAGATATAATTTGTGCGTTACCACATCTCAGACAGATAAATGAGTGCAAAAGTTACCAAGAATGCAAAAATAAATAAATAAATAAAATAAAAATACTTTATGTACAACAGTAGTTTCTATGTAGAAACAGACACAGTAAGCATTATGGATGGGGGTTGGGGAACACTGGAAGTAATAATACATAAAAAGTATCAGCTGTTCTGCTACAACTACTATTTACTGTCTAAGTGATAGATATCTGTAAATACAACCATGAACATGTACGCACACGTGTACAAATGTACATACATCAGGTGTATTATGCATGGAGTACTGACCATAGCGTTAAAGGGGCTGGGTGACTCGTGACATCATAATGTGTAGCAGTCTCTGACTGAAGGAGCTGCTCAGTGCACCCACCAACTCGTGCAGAGGGTGATGTGGTTGTTCATGATGTCAGCTTAGCGGACATCCTCCTCTTGCCCACCACCACCACCACAGACTCCAGAGGGCATCGCAGTACAAAGCTAGACCTCCACACCAGTTTGTCAGTCCTGTCCCTGTCCGTGCATCCGCTCCCCCAACAGGCAGAGAAAACGGCAGATGCCACCGAATCATAAAATGTCCTTAACAGAGTCTACGTACTCCGAAGGACCTCAGTCTCCTCAGCAGGTAGGGTCGACTTTAGCCCTTCTTATACAACGCTTCTGTATTTGTAGACCAGTCTAGTTTATTGTTTAGGTGAACACCCAGGTACTTGTAAGAATCCACCATCTCAATGTCTTTTCCCCGTAAGAATGTAGTGAGATTTTTACATTGATAAAATCCTAAAGGAGTCAAATGTTTCAATCATTTTGGAAGGAAGGTTATACTGAAGCATATTTCATATCCAGCTGGCTCTGGGGGTTGTCAGTTTTTCTCCTTTCAACACAAAGGACGGAGAGATGTATGGAAGAAGAAGAATTAAAGTGCCAGAAATAGAACATTTGAACTTTCAATTTGAAAGCAGAATTTCATATCAAGAGACCGACTTTTTAATTTGAGAATAAGATTTTATATTATTGCTCTCAAAATGTCTGCTCTCTCTTTTAAATTCACTCTGTTCTCCTTCAAATCTTTGTTTCTGCGCTCAGATTTAACCTTCTTACACTGGTATTGTCTTCTCACGTGACAACTTTTTCTCTGCACTTTAAATGCACAAAAATAAGCCATAAATACAGTTTCCACTATCAAAGTAGTCACACTTTGTTGATCCAAACACTGCTGATCTCTCAACACTAATGATGGGCAGATTAAACAGTTCATTTCGATGCTTCTCCCACACAACGGGTGTTTGGATCTAACTTCCGCGTTTATTGCTCGGACTGTATCGCAAGATCTCGAAAATCCCGCGCATGCTTGTTTGCGCACCTCAGGTCGCCGCACCGGAGCAGAGCCGTTGTAGAGCGGGTACAGTATAATTTGAGTTCGGAAGCGTGCGGCAGCGGAGGGCGGTGGCGGAGCGGAGATGGTGGAATCCAGTCTGGAGTGGTAGCTTCGTTCACCTGGACTAGCAAAATGGACCAGAGCCAACAAGACACCCAAGTAAGTTATGTTTCAAGGCTAGTAGCTGCAGTTTATTTTTTACAATTCTGTTTTGTTACGCTGCTTTTTACAACTCCTCGCATTTAATATAACAACAGGAGCACATAGCTAGGTGGATTAGCCTATTCTCACGATAGCTACAATGTTTATAAAACCACCAGATCTGAGTTTTACCCTCGTATCACTCGTCCTCTATGCTAGCTCTGGACCTAGCGTAGATGTTTTTGTTTAGTATTCCCACTTTAGTTTTTAATCATGTTAGCTCTTTGAACATTACGGCAAATCCGGTGTATTGCTGTGAGTTGTTTACCCCACGAACATTGACTTGTTACATCAACATTAAAACCTCACCTTCCCACCCTGGACCAGAACAAGAGGATGCTGACTCAGACCTGAACGTGTTGTTGATGCGCCTCAGTGTGGAGCTCAACCAGGACGCAGGGTTTGTGGTGAATGTTAGAAAAATTTCAGTAAACATATAAATACTGTAAATAATGACTTTTAGTTTGTAGAGGTGATGTAACAAACATGATAGCCGTGTTTCCTCTGTAGAAGAAGACACGACGGCTCGGTCCTCTCAGCTGTTGTCTCTCCACACAAACTCAGCCCTTTAAGGACTTTGCTCAGACGTCAGCGTATCACGACTGCTTCTGCAGAGTTACGTCACTGATCAGCGCCAGAGGGCGTCCACGAACATCATTAACATTAAAAACTTTATTCTGCAGAATTATAGTGGAGTTTAACCGAGTCGGAGAACCGGGAGAGCTGCTGTTGGATGTGGCGTTCAATGACCCGAAGAAGAAAAGAAAAAGTGAATAATAACTCAACAGATACGTTGACTTAAATGTAATGATGTATTTAACTTTCACAACTTTAACAAAGAACCACAGTTCTGCGGAACATCAGGTGCTTTTGTGAGATATTTAAAAGGTTTTAGTTCTCTTATTTTGAAAAACAAACTACACGATTGTGTGTAAAAGTCGGTGTTGCTGTGTTTGCTGCTCGTGTTCGTGACCTACAAAAGGAAAGGAGGGATGAGGTCAGAGAGACGAGTGCTTGCAGAGCTTTACCACAAACGGATGGAGCGTTCTGGTTTCCTCACTTCTAACAGAGAAGCATCAGGCTAGCAGGAGCCGCCCACATCTGCGTTCATCTAGCAGAACTTCTAGAGTTAGCAGGTGATGCTCCTGAAGCGTGCTGCCTCTGCCTCCCATTTGTCACCTCACGGCCAGTTGTGTGTTGACAGAACCTGCAGGAACGTCATTCTCTAGATACATAAACATTTCTGGGTCCATGATCTAAATGATGAATGACCCACTCTTGTATCGCGCCTTTCAGAGTCAGAGGACTCCAAAGCGCTTTACCATGTAGCCACAGCTGGCCTGGGGCGCACGGACAGAGGCGAGGCTGCCGAACACAGGCACCTCCGCTCCCTCCGACCACCAGCAGCAGGCAAGGTGGGTTAAGTGTCTTGCCCAAGGACACAACAGCAGCATTCTCTGGTCTGAGCCGGGATTGAACCTGCAACCTTCTGATTACCGAACAACCCGCTCAACCTGTTGAGCTGCTGCTGCCCTAAACTTTACATTTACATTCATCTTTGCAGTTCTTTTATTTTCTGGGGCACATTTTTCACCATGACTCATCATTTCCTGTTTTCCTGTTGATGTGGCGAGTCGGCCGTAACCATTCAGGTGTGCAGGCTGCTGGGGTGTGCTGTGCCCCTCCCCTGCCAGGTTAAAGCCTCGTCCATGCTGAAAATCACTTCTTGAAAGAAACTGATAGTGAACAAAGCCATGAGGTCACATGTAGACGTGAGCTTTGCTGCATTAGTCTTATTTTGAAAATTGCCGGACATTTACACTGAAACATTTTGTGATTTCCTGTCTAGCCCTGTGTTTACTGCAGGAATGGACATGGCACAGAAGTGGCTCGTGGCAAAAATAGAACCCGATCCTATCTTAAGCGGCACAGCTGTCCGATTCTGGGGACCCCACCCACACACACACACACACAGAGTAAAATATAACTTTTACCTTTTATCCTAACTTACTCTTTACAACAGATGAGTGTGATTTTGTCTCTAGGAACTAAAAGTGTTGATAAGTAGTGTGTAGTACCATGTTTGAATAAGTAGTTTTATTTTTAACCTGTGCAGAACTCTGTGGCTAGGTTCCTGACAGGCACTAGATGTCGAGAGCACATTACCCCAGTGCTGGATGCTCTGCACTGGCTCCCGGTAAAATATCGAGCTCAGTTTAAAATCTTAACTCTCGTTTATAAGGCCCTCCAGGGCAGTGCCCCCTCGTACATTACTGCGCTTTTGAACAGGTATACCCCATCTCGGTCTCTTCGCTCAGCCGAGCAGGAACTTCTGGTGGTCCCCCGGTCGAAATTTCGATCGAGGGGTAGTCGTGCTTTTTCTATTTTGGCTCCAACTCTGTGGAACGAATTGCCACTGAGCATTAGGCAGGCACCATCCCTTCAAGTCTTTAAGTCTCGTTTAAAGACTCATTTTTATCTGATTGCGTTTCAGCGCTAGGGTCATTTGAATTGCCCTGACATTCTGGTTTTAACTATTCTTCTTTTTAAACCGGATGCTTGATTTTATTTTGTCCGACATTTGTTTTTTTTAATCGATTAGTCTTATTCCAATATCTCTTATCTGTAATGCTGTTTGCTTGCTATTTTATTATTTTATGTTTTTATCCTGCTTTTATGCCCATGTATTGGGAATGTTTTTCTTTTAATGATGTTGTTCAGCACCTTGGGCTTCGGATAATGTTGTAGAAGGTGCTATACAAATAAAATTTGATTGATTGATTGATTGATTTTATGATCCATGTAGAAATCTCATTGTTACAATAAATAATGTTGATCCAACTGGAGTCTTTATTTTTCTTTCTCTTGAACAGAAGAACTGAAATTTGAGCCATTTGTGCATCTGGATTTTAAAATGATTTTTATAAATAACTGATCATATTTTATATTAGTCAGTCAGTGTGTAAAAAGTCTGTCTGGCCAAAGTAATTCATTAGTTTTCATCAGCTTGAACACCACGACACTGACAATGTTCACATGATGATCGTAACGTGGAGCTGAAAGCTGAAGAGCAGATGTAGCTAACTGTTGAAGCCTCACAGGGTAACCCACAGACATGTGTACGTAGACGCCTCGTGGACTGGCGCTGTCTATTGGAGCTGCAGTAGTGGCCGGCCGCCATTTTAGATGGGTCTCCATTTGCCCCTGGTGCATTCATATCTACTGAGGAGGTGTTTACCCAACTAAAAACCGCACAGAAACGGGCACAGTGGTTCACTCTGCTTCTGCATCTCTTTTTACAGTCACTGCTGCTCTGCATCGACTTTGGAGAGTGAGGAGATCCATTTAATATGGCGGTGAAGCTGTTCCAGTGCCCAAAAAATCCATGAGAGCAGGGAGCAGACTTGTGGGAGCAGTTTTGATCCGTGCAGAGAAAAAGCTGTCACGTGAGAAGACAATACCAGTGTAAGAAGGGGAAATCTGAGCGCAGAAAAAGATTTGAAGGAGAACAGAGTATATTTAAAAGAGAGAGCAGACATTTTGAGTGCAAGCATTACACGTTTTGAGAGCAAAACTATAAAATCTTATTCTCAAATTAAAAAGTTGGTCTCTTGATATGAAATTCTGCTCTCAAATTGAAAGTTCAAATGCTCAATTTCTGGCACTTTAATTCTTCCATAGAGGTGTAACTACTGTTTACCATCAGTGAGTGAAAGGTTGTCTTGTCTCCTGTGAGCTAATACTGCAGCACCAACAACAGCAGGGTTTCCCCCAGCGCTTTATAAGCCCGGCAGCCCGCCAGGCTAAGCATCATGCCCCTCCCCCATCCTACCGTGTCCGCTGACAGAAACGGCGTAACGGCAGCGGAACGTGTGAAACCCCCCCCCCCCCCCCCCCCACGCTCTGACGGCCAAATCCGCCAGGCTTTATTCGTTTTCTGGGGGAAACCCTGAAAACTTCCAGAGTTGTTTAAAATGTTTGCAGGAACCAAATTTTTATCACAGAGTAACATTTTTTCACGTAATGCACCTTTAATCTCCTGCGTTGTTCTGAAGCAGCATCTTAATCAGCTCTCCTGCTTTGTTTCTATTGCAGCTGTTAGCTAAACACGGCTAAAGAAAACCTGCTACCACTTCAGGATCATCCATCAGCTGGGACTGATTCATCGTGTGTTCTTCACCACCTGGACCTGGACAGCATGGACACAGGTACTGGTGGATGAATGAATATATTGTCAGTCTATGGTGGGACATTACGTTAATATTATGATAACTTCCATGAGCTTCAATCTTTAAATAATGATCTGAGGAGAGGAGCCCATTGAAGTGGCACGGGCATCTGGTCAAAATGCCTCCTGGACGCCTCCCTGGTGAGGTTTTACAGGCCTGTCCAAACGGTAGGAGACCCAAGGGAAGACCCAGGACACGCTGGAGGTACTTTTTGACCAAGGCTAGGCTACAAGACACCTCCCGTGTATCCTCGCTCAGCTAGCTAAACGGAGAACACACGCCTCTGTAGAACATGAACATTGGAATGCATCTTGGCGGTTCCTGGTGACATATCTCCTAGGCAACCTGGACGGGGCCAAGACATCAAGGCAAGGTTCCTTGGCATTACGAAACACCCTATGTCTCTCGGCTGGGCAGGGAGTGCCTTGGGATTCCCCCGGAGGAGCAGGCCCAAGTAGCTGGGGAGAGGGAAGTCTGGGCCTATCTACTCGGGCTACTGCCCCCTCGCCCCTACTCTGGATAAGCGTTTGAAAATGGATGGAGTCAGTATAGGGCCAAACTTTCATCAGTTCTCCTGTGTTTTATTGATGCCTCTAAAGCTTTAGATCAAGTCAATCACAGAAAACTCTGATAATTTAAAAAAATGAAGAGTTCCTGAGTATTTAATGCGGGTCCTCTCTCACTGGTCAGCTCATCAGAAGATGCAGGGACACACTTTAACTTATCTTAGTTACTTTAAAGATGTAGATCACTTTTTAATCAACACATCTGCATCTGGTGGGGATGAAAATCCCCAGTGCACCAGTTTCAGGATGTAGAAGTGAATGACATCAGAGAAGACAATCGGATTGGATAACAGCAATGCGGCTCAACCAATGACTCCGTTTGCAACGTTCTACAGCTGGGAACAATTTTTTTTCTCCGTGTCCTGTCTGGCTGTGAAGCAAACAGAATTGATGTCTGAATGCTGGTGACAAGCCTAACAGATTTACTCTCAGGTGGAGCATCAGAGCTTCTGCTTTAATGTCACGCTTGATACTTAAAACTTTATTGTTGTTGTTTTTTGAATGCTTTGTAATTCCAACCAGACACGGAGACAGAGGTGAAAGATAAAGGAAGAAATAGGGGGGGTCCACAAAAATAAACAATCAATGATGAACAAGAGTCTGCTTCTAGACCTGCAGAAAGGGAAAAACTAACCAAAAAAAAGGGCGACACACAACAATTCAACTAGAGCAAGCCATCACTCTTCAACCTGATGAGGAAATATAAAATCAACATTGTTTTACTGAACAATCACACAATAATAAATCACAGTGCATTAAGTATCAACCACAGCCTTAAGACATGTGTTGAACGTGCCCAAGTCCATACTTATGAGAGCACCATGTGAGCGCCTGTGTGTGTAAACAGGCTTGTATATGTAAGGTTTCTCTATAGGAGTATCCAATAGAGAGTGTGAGGAGCCACAGATCTGCCCCCCAAAGATGTGTAGGAGATAGAGGGAGCTTCAAGTCCCAGAGATCCAGGAGCTATCTCAGAGCGCAGAAAAGCCCCTGCCCCCTCTCGAGAGGCGCGGACGATTGTCCCGGGGGGTCACAACCAGCAGCCGGCAGAGTCCCGGGAGATATCAGCAGCAAGCCCACAGGCCCACCCGCAGCCTCCCACCCCCAAGCTGGCCGAGCCTGGAACCAAGCAACCCGGCACCCAGGGACAACCAGCCCCACCGGGGACCCAACAGAGCCCAGAGACTCAGACCCAACCAGGCAGTCACCGGGATCGATCAGGAAGACTCCAAAAATCTTAAACCCCCCTGACCCGGGAGCCACAAACACTCAGGCAGACGAAGGCATCACACTCCACACCAAATGGGTAGGAGTACAAGACCCCACCTGACATATACAGCCATGCACAGACACAGTCACACACTCACTCCCTCATGCTCACACATACACATTCAACCAAAGACTTACAAAAATGAATGCTAGACACCCACTCACGCTCCCCATACACACCCTATTCGCTCTGGTCCCGGAACTGCTGCACAATGGGTACAACCATCACTGGTTCCCAGAGTTCGCCCCTTTCTGCTGGGGGTGATGATGCGCAGGCTCCCCCGCCCAACACCGAGCAAAGCGACCCACCACCCAGACCCCAGCCAGATGGCCATCTCCCCCTCCTAGCCTCCAGCCCCGGGAAGCCAAGTGACAACAGAGGTGTGCTGAGACCCCTAGGCTCCCTCCGCCTGCTCCAATATAGTGTTAGTGCATGTTGAAGAGGTGTATTCATGGCTGTGATGAGCGGGCAGGGCAGGCATTGTCTGGCCTACGCCAGCTGATGCAACCACACAAGCCCACTTCCCCTCACAGCCCTCTGTGTCTAAGTGCAGTTTAAAAATTGGAAGTGGGCACCGGCACTCAGGATAAGGCTAAACAATCCCCTTGCCAAATGCCGTTGAATGTGCTCACTCCCAAGGCCCTAAGTGTTTGTTTGTGTGGAATGACATTGCTGGAAGTGCTTAAGGTTCAAATAAAATTGGGGGGCAGGCTGCCACAGGAATGCGGAAATGGGATCCATACCTGCACCCCAAGCACCTGACTTGCCCACCCCCCAAGATTCTATGTGCATGATTGTGTGATGATGTGAGGGAGCAGGAGGAGAAAAATGTATGGTGATGGGGAGGAATGGCTGGTTGTCCTAAGCCCTCCAGGGAGCCAGCTCCCCCACTGGCCCCAATAGGCACCTCCATTACCCAAATGCCCCCCAGGACATGGAGACCCGTGGGAACTTTCTACAGCTGAATGAAGATAAGACTGAGATTCTCATCTGTGCCCCAGACAAGCTGGTTCCCAAAGTCAGAGACTCTCTTGGTCAGCTTGCTTCTCACACCAAACCCTCTGTCAGGGATCTTCGTGTGACCTTTGACCCAGCTCTCACCCTGGATTCTCATGTCAGTTCTCTTGTTCGCTCTTCCTTCTTTCATCTCAGGAACAATTGCTAAGCTGAGTACCATTCTGTCCCACTCTGAACTTGAGACTGTCCTCCACACCTTCATCTCCTCACGCTTAGACTACTGCAACTCTCCTTTCACGTGTCTGAGCAGAACCTCCCTGAACCGTCTACAGGTGGTTCAGAATGCCTGTGCTCGGCTTCTGACCAAGTCCTCCAAACACACCCACATCACCCCGCTTCTCCTCCAGCTTCACTGGTTGCCAGTCAATGTCAGGGTTCATTTCAAGATCCTGGTTCTGGTCTTTAGGGCCTTACATGGACAAGGACCATCTTATATTGGTGATCTTCTCAGTCCTACACCCCCAGCAGGTCCTTGAGGCCCAGTGACCAAAGCCTACTGCAGAAGAGTCAAATTCAAGTTTGAACTGGGCCGAAATGAAAAACCAGGACTAAGTCAGGAGCCAAACTCAATTTTTTTTTTATTTTTTTTAATTCACGACAAATCTCAAGATATGTACTGTTGAACCTTTTCATTTGGAAGCAAACTCATTTTTGCATAAACACTGATGCTGGAATAACCAAATTACACACTAGCAAGTACATTTTAAATAAAATACACATCAGCTTATAAACTCGGTATAAACTAGCTGTCTTTTTTCCTTAACGAGCAGAAACTCACTCTGAATTAGAGCTGAAACGATTCCTCGGGTACCTCGAATAATTCGAGTACAAAAAATCCTCGAGTCAAATTCTCTGCCTCGAGGATTCGTTTAATTCATATTTAATTAATTCATGGCTTTGCAATCGCCCGGGGTCATGTTTCACCCGGACCGAAATAAGTGACGCACATGCCCACTGCACTGAATGCACACGCGAGTAGCGAATATAACTTAACTTTCTCTTAACAACGTGGACCCCGGTGGAGTGCGAAAAAGACAGAAAAAGTCAAAGTTGTGGGACCATCTTTCACGTCGTAAGACGGAAAACGTAGTCCAGTATAAATACTGTAAAATGGATTTAACCTACCACAACACCACATCCTCCGTGCTGCAGCACCTGTAAATGTCACTTCTGCAAGCGGACTCGGAGCCTCTACAAGATAATGCTTTTTAGCCTGTATTTCTATATATTCTGCAGACACTGCGACTTTTTCGTTTGTAGCACTCAGTTTCAGCTCACACCGTACATCTGGTAGCAACACGTCGGACTTAAAATGTGCTAAAAATAGCAGTTTTTACACAATATGTCGGACTTTCTATTGTGTTATTGATGTCTGTTGTCCCTCGGGGTTTCTGCAGGAGGACACGGGTATTTCTGAGTGGCGGAGGAAAACGAAAGAAAGTAAATAAATGTTTTGTGATCAGTATAATTTGACAAAACCACAGCAAACATGCTTTTAGCAATCCTTGTTAGTGTGAGAAAAAAAAGTGTAGAAATAAAAACGGACGTCCGTTAATAGGGAAACAGCCGGCGAGCTGTTTGCGCCGTGAGCGGTTCTGGTTCTGTTTGGGCCGCAGCCGCTCGCAGCGTTATCCTCCTAGTTTTTGTCTGGCTTGCAGGCTAGCAGATTCTCACACGAGGGGAAAATCAGCTCAGGTTGTTTACTTATTTTTTGCACAGGCATTTGTTTACTGTGAAGTAAAGTTTAAGTGCTGAAGTTATGCAAACTAATTTTGAATAAAACTTGAAGAATAACTGGCAATTGCTTGCTCATTTTAAGAGGTCTTTCATAATTATAACATGCTATTTGATATCAAATCACTTTTATTGTCACGTCACATGTGCAGGTACACTGGTACAGTACATGCGAGTGAAATTCTTGTGTGCGAGCTTCACAGCAACTGAGTTGTGCAAAAATACAGTAATGTAAAAACAAGTAAAATATAAAAATGGCTAATCTAAGTATACAAATGAATAAAGTAAACAATAAGATAAGAGATATAAAATGTACAGAGGTTGGTATGTGCAAAACAGTGGCATTAATGTACAGTATGGAGTGTGTAATGTTGGAACTTGGTGGAACTCGCGACGAGGCAGCCATACTCGACGCCATCTTGGCTCATCAATATATGATATAATGGTTTACAAACACAAAAGGGTAATTTATTAGAGTACTCGATTAATCGAAAAAAAGATTCGATAGAGTACTCGATTACAAAAATATTCGATAGCTGCAGCCCTACTCTGAATAACCCTGCCCCCTGTGTTGAGAGAGAGTTCTTGTACTGATTAAATGCAGGAGGGTGTGACCTAGACGGAAACTCCTTAGGAACTAGCCTAGTGAACTAGACCAAATTCCTGCTTTGCAAAGTTTGGTCTAGGAATGCTCCATTGGAACCTCTGCAACCCCTAGCAGCATTCTGGTTTGCCAATCACAGCTCTCTAGAGGGGTTTCAAACACAAAGTCAAACACACTATCTGCTTTGTGGACCAATCACAGTGCTTCATCAGCTTTGTGGGCCAATCAGGGCCCTCTATTCGTCTGGTGGGCGGGATGATGCAACAGAGTGAAATAAGATGGCTGCAGTTTGTTGGAAACAGCTTTTACATCAATCTAAGACTATTTGGACTTGGCAGCTCTTCACAGTAGCCTACATTATCGATCTATCTGCCCCAATCTCGGGTTTTTTCAAGATCAGATCGGCACAAAACTGCAGTCAGTGCACCGCTGGTTTTCATTTCATTTTCATTTATTTATTTAAGGACAGTGCACATTAATCAACATTTCTGTAAATGTGCCAGTGTTAGCCAGCAGGCTAATTTTCAACTGTAGTCCATTGGCAAGATGTTATACTAAGCACATGGCAGCTAAAAAGAAAGAACCAATTACATGAGCATAATAAATAGCACAAGAGTTAATATACAACAGTAAAACACAATACTATTGCACTTACTCCATTAAAACATAAGAACATATATTCATATAACCATACAACTCATTAAAGAATCCAAAGTAGCCATATATCCATCAATCTCTCCTACATCTAATAGACTACACAATTAAATCTAAAGGCAAATATAATGATTATTATGGGAGGTGTTCACATAGTTAATTTTAAAGCGAATCATTGCTATAGAATAATTCTTTTGCACAAGTATGTCAAAACAGGTGCAAAGGTTTGATTTTCAAAATTAGAAAAATGAAAGTCAATATGATTTTGTAGTTCAAACAGCAATGCTAATTATGTTCATTTATATTTGAGAACATTACCTCATGTCCAGTTGAAACTGGTATTGTTTCAAGAGTATTCATATTGGTTTTTTCAATAAAAGCAAATTGAAACATTGACATAATCTGCTTTTAGTTAAGGCAAAATCGGTATCGGCAAGTCAGGTTTTTCTCAAGACCAGTGATCAGCCACAAACTGCAATCGGGGCAACCCTAGTAAATACCCAACACTGGTTATATATTTTTCTGATTTCACAAACACCACTAGGTATTTTTCCTGTTCTTTTACTGCCTGTTTTATTTTATATACTTCTATTTTTTTCCATTGCAGTAACTATAAAAAGTGAGGAAGATGAAGAGAAACCTCTGTTCTCACAGCTTCATCAGCAGCAAATAGAAGACAGAGATGTTCAAAACAGCACCTCGGCTGACCAGATGAAAGCAGAAACTGGTGGAGAAACTAGCAGGATCCCAGATCTGAACCCTTATGATCAGACGTCGTATTCTTCAGAGACTGAAGTTAGTGGAGATGATGAAGAGGATGATGATGTGACTCAAGACTCTGAACTGTCAAACTCTGGGTCTGAAACTGGAGACAGAAACAATGATTGGAATGAGAGCAGGTCTTCTGAGTCAGATGTTAAGGCTGTCAACAAATCCTTCAGCTGCCATGAGTGTGGTAAACAATTTCTCCACAAGTGGTCTCTCCAGAAACATGTGAGGGTTACAAGTCATTCAGAAATGGGGTCTCCAGGCTGTTTGGCCAATAACAAAAGTGTTACCACGATGCAACCTCTAGAATCATGCGGGAAAGTCCTGAAAAAACAAAAATCATTTAGTTGCAACGACTGTGGAAAAATATTTAGTGTAAAATCAAGATTAAACAGACACATGAGTGTCCACACAGGAGAGAAGCCTTTTGCCTGTGAGCTCTGTGATCAAAGATTTAGTCGTAAGGCACATTTACACGATCACACGAGAGTCCACACAGGACAGAAGCCTTTTGCTTGTGAGCTCTGTGAACACAGATTTAGCTTTAAGGCAACTTTAAACAGACACCTGAGAGTCCACACAGGACAGAAGCCTTTTGTCTGTAAGCTCTGTGGTCAAACATTTAGCTCCAAGCCAACTTTAAACAGTCACATGAGAGTCCACACAGGACAGAAACCTTTTGCCTGTGAGAACTGTGGACAAAGATTTAGTTATAAGGCAAATTTAAACACACACATGAGAGTCCACACAGGACAGAAACCGTTTGCCTGTGAGTTCTGTGGACAAAGATTTGTCCATAAGACAACATTAAATGGTCACTTGAGAGTCCACACAGGAGAGAAGCCTTTTGTCTGTGAGCTCTGTGGTCAAAGATTTAGCCAAAGGACAAGTTTAAGCAGACACATACGTGTCCACACAGGACAGAAGCCTTTTGCCTGTGAGCTCTGTGATCAAAGATTTAGTCGTAAGGCACATTTACACGATCACACAAGAGTTCACACAGGACAGAAGCCTTTTGCTTGTGAGCACTGTGAAAAAAGATTTAGCTTTAAGGCAACTTTAAACAGACACCTGAGAGTCCACACAGGACAGAAGCCTTTTGCCTGTAAGCTCTGTGGTCAAACATTTAGCTCCAAGCCAACTTTAAACAGTCACATGAGAGTCCACACAGGACAGAAACCTTTTGCCTGTGAGAACTGTGGACAAAGATTTAGTTATAAGGCAAATTTAAATAGACACATGAGAGTCCACACAGGGCAGAAGCCTTTTACCTGTGACTTCTGTGGACAAAGATTTATCCAAAAGGCAGCATTAAACTATCACATGAGAGTACACACAGGACAGAAGCCTTTTTCTTGTGAGCTCTGTGGACAAAAATTTCACCAAAAGACAACTTTAAACAGACACATGATTGTCCACACAGGACAGAAGGCTTTTGCTTGTGAACTTTGTGGACAAAGATTTCGCCAAAAGACAGATTTAAACAGACACATGCGTGTCCACACAGGGCTCAATTAACTCATTTAACTACACAAGTACCAAAATTATCATTGTAGTATCTAGATCCTAGATAGTATTACAACCCTGGTGTACCCCAAATCAGGGTCTCTTCCAGCCCATGAGCCACCTCTTCCTGTCCTGCAAGCCCCACATTCTGGCCACTAATGGGCCATTCCCATCTGTACCAGGTCGGCCCGGGCCGGGTAGTGTAGGTTGTTTACATATCTGGGTGGCCTGGTATTTTTCCGGGCCAACCAAGGCTCATTCTCAGCCCTCTTCTCGAAGGGGTCTGCTTCAGGCCGACCAGGGCCAACACACCCACTGCTGACAGCAAATTCACACCTTCCATTAGAGCAAGCCTCTGATTGGTGGGCAGAATCAGCCCACATGGGCTTAAGACAAGGATGTGTGGAATCAACCGGGCCAGGCTGGGGCCGACTGGGGCTACCCGGCCCGGGCCGACCCGGTAAAGATGGGAATGGCCCATAAATCTCCGTTTCCATCAAGAGATGGCACAGTATTGTTACACAATGATGAGCTGCTGACCTAAGGTTTCACTTTTGGAGCGTTGCAGGAGTAGAGAGTAGCATGGCATGTATACCCTGCTGTTAAATAGTTTGCGTAGTGTAGAAATAATGGTCTTTTACGAGTATTTTGAACTTTGTGAGTTGCATAGATATAACTGCAGATCTCTTCAGTTGTTTATCCAGTAGTTCCAGGATTGAGCCCTGCTAGTGTAAACACATGGCAGCCCAACATTTCCATTACTTTTCACTTATTCCTCAAATTCACACAGTTTTCTGCTGTTTGCAGAAATGTGTTTTGTGTTTGAACCTAGTATTTAGAAACGATGTACTGATTGTGAGGCAAAAGCAATGAGGGCTGTCAATCAAGCAATAGAAGAGAATTCTGTTTGTCTCTCTGGAAAAAAATAAGGATCAATTCCTTCTAAAAAATGGTGTTAGGAGATTCCACTGTGTCTCTCTAGCAATGGGCGATACGGCCTAAAATCTATTTCGCAATAAATTCTGAAACACATGCGGTACGATGTTTACAATAAATATCACAAATTCTTTTTATACAATTCTAAATGACAGGTACATTTTAATATTCTCACATACCTCCTTCACTGCACCCCAGGGCAGCTGTGGCTACATCTCCACCAGCGTGTGAATGACTGATTGTGTTGTGAAGCGCCTTGGGGGGTTGTAGAACCCTAAGAAGACACTACAAATACAGGTTTAAATAAAGTTAAAGTCCCATAGTCATCATCACACACTGGTGAAATTCTTCTCCGCATTTGACCCATCCCCATGGAAGGGAGTGGTGAGCTGCAGCAGCGGCTGCCCGCGGAAACAATTTGGTGGTTTTATCCCCCAATCCAACCCCTTAAAGCTGAGTGTCAAGCAGGGAGGCATTGGGTCCTGTTTTATTTTTTTGTTGTTTTTATTGTTTTTTTTCTTAGCTTTTTGCATTTAAGGAAGAATATAACAGATTATAAATAGTATCAAACAACCGAGAAAAAATAAATAAAAGGCAGTGTGGTTCTTTTCCTTATCAAAACACAGAGAGAATGAGACAACTTTGTCCTTACAGCGTGGTGCTTATTTGTACAGTACAGTAACCCCCAAATTCCACTACCTCCGCTCCGCTCCGACACAAACGCCGGAGCAAAATCGGTCCCGTTGTAGTCAATCAGAGCAATTCCACTACTGCGGCAGTGCAGCGCAGTGCTCCGCCCTCTGTTCCGGCGTCTGGCAAAAATAGAATCGCTCCTCTTTTTGCCGGACGCCGGAGCACCTCCGCAGTAAATGGACAGAAATCACAACCGCCCAACAGGAAAAGGAGCAAGCACAACTTCCGTTTTTCACAATAAATCGATAAACAAAAGGCGTTTTTTGTTTCATATGCACAGGTTTAACAACTTTTAACAACTATCAATGGCGGCTAAAGTTTAAATGCACAAAAGTAAGCCATAAATACAGTTTCCACTATCAAAGTAGTCACACTTTGTTGATCCAAACACTGCTGATCTCTCAACACAAATGATGGGCAGATTAAACAGTTCATTTCGATGCTTCTCCCACACAACGGGTGTTTGGATCTAACTTCTGCGTTTATTGCTCGGACTGTATCGCAAGATCTCGAAAATCCCGCGCATGCTTGTTTGCCCACCTCAGGTCTCCGCACCGGAGCGGAGCCGTTGTAGAGCGGGTACCAGTAAAAATTGAGTTTGAAAGCGAGCGGCTGCGAAAGGCGGGGGCGGACCGGAGCGGAGGTAGTGGAATTTGGGGGTAATACAACACCAGTCTTTGGTACAGCGTTCAGCCACTTCAAATGTGAGCCAATTTTGTACACTTTGCTGACATCAGTCTCGCATATTTTCAGGAGATGGCCTTCACATACACATGAATTGGAGCTATTTTGGGAGTCAATCTTTTCCCAGCGACCCTCTACAAAACAGGAACCATCTGCTGCTCTTGACTTCCAGATAAACATTCAGATAAATGTTAGTCTTACTGGAAATTATACAAACTGGACTGAAAACAGGATATAGCTTGTCACGTACACAACACAGCTTCGGCTCCTACAATCCTCCCCGTGGGGTTGACAACCCCCAAAAAACTAGCTAATGAAGCAACTGAAGTATATCATATATATGAACCAGATATTTATATGTAGTAACTATGTAACTGCAGGTCAACACTTGATGAGTACATAGTTATGAAGTAAGTATTAGCTGTAAGACACAACTTGGAATGTGACGTCTCTAACCAACTCATCAATACATCAAAATGTACACACACACTGTAAGAAGGCGAAAACCTGTCCGCTGCTCTTAACAGGAAAAAATCCTTCTTGACCTCCTGGCCCAAACAGGACAATCACATAAAGCACAGAGTGAGCATACAAGTCTAGCCTAAGTATATGGCAGACATTAGGCAACATTGAATCAACAAAAGAACACACATGAGAAAATGAACTGATTAAACCTTTCAACAGAGAATAAAAATCATGAGTATAATTGAGTAAGATTACTCTTAGCAACATTTCAACCAGTAACTGTATGTGAATATGCGGTCAAAAATGCTAAATTATTTGAAATAAATGAGTGACGTGGACACGACTAAACGACTGAGTGATGTGTATGTGGCTAAACCTACAGAAAACATAACAGTGAGTGTGATGAATATACTTGATGTAACAACTAGTGGTGGGCATAGATTAATTTTTTTAATCTAGATTAAACTCACTGTAATCTTGGAATTAATCTAGATTAAAATGGCTCATTCAAATTCTGCCAAAGACATATGTGTGTGCTACCTAGATAATGAATAAAAGCAAGTCTTTGAGAATGGAGGCGTATTTCTTGTTTCAATAATGCATCACAGACTGATAAAGCAGTTTTACTACGATAACTGATGATGAAAATAAATAATGATCAATAAGTATTTGTGTTTAATAGCTGTTTCTTCAGTTCAACAAATTCTGCGCTGTAGGTCTACAGAATAGGTCATGATTAACTATTTACAGTCAGTAGCATTTGGTCAATCAGTCCAAGCTCTATTTCTCCTTCTTCCACCAGTCACTCAAGCAGACCAGCTTGTTCACATTGTCTGGTGACAAACTAGATCTTCTCTTCTGCACAATATGTCCTGCTAAAGAAAAAAGTAAATATATATATATATATATATATATATATATATATATATATATATATATATATATATATATATATATATATATATATATATACACACACACATACACAAACACACACAAACTATCTGGCCTGGGGAGGGGGTTAAATTTCTGGGGTGCCCTTCCAATGCCCCCCTTTAGTTTGCATGTAGGATCGCCTCTGGTGAATAGGAGCAAGAGCTGGAAATGATGCCACAGGTGTATGAGCAGAAGCCAACTGTTGCTGTTGTTGTCTCTGAAAACGGCAAGGGGAGTTATCCTAGCTCAACTTTTCTAAACAAATGTAAAAATTTATGAGTAAAACGTTTATTATTACAGGTGAATTTGAGTCGAAGCCACATGAACAACGATCTGTAGAAACAATTTATCACTTTATCACAATAAACAGCTGCTAAAAGAGCTAAACTTAGTTGGAAACCGCACCTGTCTGAGAAAATCTTGTCTCGGTTTTCTCACATCCGAGCGCTGCTTCGGCTGCGGACGGTGAAGTGTGGCCCGGGGAAAGCCCGGCTGGAAATGTCGGAGGTAAACAAAACAAAATAAAAAGAATGAAAGTCGGATTTATGGATTAAACTCTAGTGAAAGTACATAAAGTATTTACTTGTCCCGCGCGATGAGAAGGGAGAAGCGCTGCTGGTGGCGAAGGTGCAACTGTTCGGCTGCATGGGGAACATTGAACTTTGCGAGCCTGGCGTCCGTCCATACCATCGGTCCATACGTACGATGATCCGTGCCGAGTACACATCCGCGCCAACCAGGTATCCATCCGCGCAATGTGAAAGTCATCATAGTTTACTTAGTATAGACCCAGATCCCAACCCAACTTTGAGATTAGATTAACGGCGTCATTTTTTTTTATCGCGCGATAAGAGTCTGGCTTTGCCGCAGCGCGTTAACACCGATAACGGCCCACCCCTAGTAATAACACAACTGCTCAACCAAAATAAAGAATGGAGTCAGAGTCCCAGTTACAGACTTGAAAAAATGGAGTGAAGAAAAACAAAAGAATAAAGTTCAGTTTTATTAATGACTGCTGCAGGGGTCTTGATGCTGGAAGAGGACTTTGAGGCCGATTCCTTAGTCGAGTACATGTAACAACATCAACAACATTCCTTACGAGACGCAAAGATGACTCCTCAGCCATCCCATCAGCTGTCCCGTTCTCCAGACACATTGGGAACAGCACCGAGTCCAATGCAGCCATTTCCATTTGCACGTATTGAGACGAAGCAGCAAGGTTCATTTGGGCAGCCAGAGTTCGCTCCAACAGTCTCCTCACAACAGGTAGGATGCAACATGCCAATAGAGAAATCAGAATTAGTACTACTATTGCACTAATTCCTGCCTTTACAAAGATAGTTCCCCACTGACCCAATTTGACGGATAAGAGGTCCAAGGACCAGCTTTCCCTGCCTTCATTCTCCTTCAGCTCTATCTTTAAATCTTTCAACTTTCTCATGCCTTCAGTAAACGCACCATCAGGGGCCGTATTACTCGGAATGTAAGTGCAACATTCTTGCCCACTTGAGTTTAGAAATTGACAGAGCCCACACCTCTCGGCCAACAGCCAGTCCAAAGCCTGGTCGTGCGGCAAAGTCATTGTGGCTGTGGCATGAAGCTGTTCGCCGAGGAGGCCGAGGTTATTTGCTGTGTAATTTAAGATTCTTTGCTGATTAAAATAAACATAGTGGATCCATTTCACATTCTTATTTATTGTTATCAAAGGAAGAATTGACTCTACACCAGCTATTACTTCATCTCTTCCTTGAAATTCAACGCAAATTACTGTCGGCAACCCTATGGCATTTAAATGTACTTTATGATCAAATACATCATACCTCTTTGTCCTACGTTCATTGTGTAACAGAATGAGATGACTGTTTTCCACCAAAAGTCATTTCCCCCCTCTCCTCTGACACAGAACTAATCTGCATGAGACTGCCTCAAGGTCATGCATTTGTTTCTAAACTGCTTCTTTCCAGCTCAAGAGAAGAATGAAGTAAAGGAGTCTCTCCTTTTAATAAATCAAAGAACTCTATTTTTATTTTTAATAAAGCTAATCAAACAAAGTGTTAGTCAATAATTAGATGTGACCAATCTGTGAAGTCAAAATATTAATTACTTTATTATAATCCTATAGAATATAATAACTAATATCACTTTAAATATTTCCACTAGGACTGAGCTCATGTAGCACTAAAACATGACATGTTGCTTTTACTGATCCAATCAGAATCTGCCAGAGCTGACGGAGGCGTGGTTTTGGTGGTGCTTGGTAAATCTGTCACCTTTTCATTCGACCATAAACCAAAACATCTAACCAAAGCTTAGCGTGAAGACAACACCTTCATTTCCCACCAGAACTAATCGTTTCGTCGGATTTGCTGGTTCTGAGCAACATTCCACACTACACATTCTCCGTCTCATTCACCTTAGTTACACCGTACATTTAGTGTTAAAGTTAGTCTAGTTTTAATTTGTTTAGTAATAAATCTTTAAACTCTTAAAACTTGACTCTCTCTTCTGTTGTCTCTGAATTAATACGAAGTGGTTACATAATCCCTGCAATAAAAAGTTCCAATCTTCTGTTTAAACAGTACCCACAGATCCATAAGGTTGATTTCATATTTACTACGGAATCTTATGTCTTATGACTCATTAAATAACATGTAAATTAAACCATTACAATTGGTAGTCTCCTACTGGAGTAATTCACTCACACCTTCATGCAAGATAGTCACTGGAACTTTCATACGCACTAGCGTACACAACCCAACCCAAAAACTTGGCAAAACATTCATTAGAACATCACCACCACACATCCAGTAGCTGTCGGCCACTGGAATGTCTTGCTCACCTAGTAGATCAAGAGTAGGAATCGTCATTGATATACCATCACAATCCTGACTAAGAGTTACAGGGTTTTCATACCAAACAGGGGTGTCAATAAGAAGTGGAGTCATATTTGCATGCGGGAACCAGGACAATACCCAAGTGACTTTACAATTGACAGATGTATTACCTACGTCCACTCCTCCATCGTCAGCGAAACCTCCACTTGCAAAACATTCATAATCAGCACTATAGTCAATTTTGTAGTCTGTTGGAGGACGATTCTGGTCTGTTTGGATTGCAAACTTGGCACATTCATCTAGGATCTTATATTCTGCATATTTTTTAACATATTTGTACTTATCTCGTGTGCCATGGAGCAATCTGCATTGAAGTCCACACAATAGCAACTTAAGAAGAGGAAGAATCTTTTTATTGATCTCTATTTCCTCTCTAGTCCTACGCGTGCGTCGTTGCTCAATGGCACATTCACTAGAAGTATATTTTTCTGGAACTACCTCAGGTAGCATTCCAGGTGCTTGAGCGCACACTATGCAGTCATTAGGAGTCATCACTCTTGTCGTAAACAAAGCCCATTTATCCCAACCATTTTGCATGGCAACATCCCAAAGCCTATTCTCTATAGGCAGTGGCCTGCTCGCCCTAGGGGAGATAGGTCCTATGTTTCCTCCGGACCTAGGTCTAATTGGCCCAAATTGGCTTAGGTACAGCTTTGCGATTAGTTACTTCTAGTTCATTTTGTCCTCCCCGAGTAAGATTACAAACATGGTCACTATCAGAGGTTGCTGTAGGAGAACCAGATTTCATGGCTACACCTCCTGTGGGAGTTGTAGTACTAACAGGTGGCTTAGTGGTTATGCCTCTCGACTTGGTAATTGGCGTTGTTTTAGATCTTAAAGCCGGCGGAGTCACCAGCTGTAAGAGAGAGGGAGAGCTCCAGTTGAACCACCAATCTTTAACAGGGATTGTGGTAGTCAAAACATCAGGGATTACAGTAGTTGTAGCGCTAGTAGTTAAAACATTATTTGGAACTGTGGTTACACCGTCAGGGATTGTATTTGTCTTAGTTGTGGTCAAAACATCGCTTGGAATCGTGGTTGTTACACTGGTTTTAACAACTGCTAAGTCGAATGCAGGCAAGGATGCCGACCTATGTTGCATCCGGCCTGCTGGATTGTACTTAACTTGATCATGGTGTGTTGCCTCGCCGTTGACCAAGTCCTTTGGCTTATGCTCTTGTGATGGGTCGATGAGTTGCTCCTCGGCCATCATCTCCATCTTCACCTCCTCCAGCACAACCATCAGACCCCCACGTGTTATCCAAAACAGAACAGATATCAGGCTTAGCATGCCCTTCTTTTCCTCGGCCATCATGCCGTTTGGTTAAGTCAGACACAATACTGCCCTGAGTTTTGTCTTTGACTTTTGTGCAGTGTGTCAGATGATGCTACGTCGATCCTCCTTCGACCTGGACTGCTGTTGGTGTTGTTCGAACCACTTTGTAGGGACCCCCTCACCGCAGTTCGTGCCACCTCCTCCTGAAAACTTTGATGTACACCTGGTCTCCAGGAACCACTTGCCCGTCTGCGCCTGCGCTAGAGACGAGCTCCTTTCTCTTTTCCTGCAAATAGATGGCTTTATGGATGTTAGTTAGTTGCTTGAAATAGCTTTTTAATTCAAGCTCTAGTTGCTCCAACGAGGGCCCCTTGTGGGGTCTTCTGAGCTGAGGAGTTGGAATTGGCCTGCCCAGCGCCGGCGCTCCGCACACGCACACCACGCCGGGGAAGGGGTACCAAACGCA